GCAGTGCTCGTGGACAAGGTCCACGAGCTGGGCTGTCGACTTTCCGTGGATTCCGTGGGTCTCACAGAGATTCAAGAGAACCCGGGCAAATTTCATGTTGAAGCCATTCCATCCTCCTGCAGACTGGTGATACTCCGAGGCCGGGCAATGCTCGTGCACGGCATGTGCCAGCTCGTGGTGGCACTGCATTTCGGTCATCTCCAAAGGCTCGCTCAAAAGCCTCTTTTGGCATTGGATGAGCTCGAGGTGCTTTGGGTTCACGACTGCGCAGGCAGCAGCCGCCATGCCGGCAAAGAGGGCCTCATCGGCCTCTTGGGCTTTCATGGTGCCAACCAGGCGCTTCCAGGCCTTCTGCTTTGACGCCTCGTCTGCAGCATGCTGCCAGGCCCACATGGCCTGGGTAACGTAGATGTCACGGGCGTCCACGGCCCCCTGGGCAGCATCGGATGGGCTCACGGAAAGGCTTGCCGTCTCCACGCTGCCAATGCTTTCATCCTCAAACGACTTGTCGCCGAAACTGCACACATGGCTCTGGTTTGTTAGTTTCGTCACTTTGGAGATTTGGCTGCGGAAGGTTTCAGACTTGAACTTGCCAAGGTCGTCGTCCTGCATCCAGTTCACGGAGAACAGGTCACCCAAACAGGAACCGACGTTCTTGCCCTTCACCATGGCAGAATCACCACAATACGTTCCCCACGAAGACTCGTCTGCGTTCGAGGCCGTAACTGCAAGGATCTTGCTGTCCGCCTGTTGAAGTTCAGTGGTGAGGCCGGATACAACAAAAGAGTTGTTTAACCAGGAATGTGTTGTTGGCTTGATTCTTGGTTTAACTTTACATCTGCCTTCAGGTCTGGGAACATGGAGCCGCTCTCGCAGGCTTCCATGTAGAAGACCATCTGCTTGAACATCTGCTTGCTCTGCATGGTCTTCAGCGTCTGGGAGAGCTCCTTGACCGTGAGTACCGGGCCGTTGGGGAAGGCGATGATGCCGGGACCGCCATGGTCCACAAAATTGACGAACACAGTGTCACTTGCGCCACTCTTCAGCACCTTGCCCTTGGCACCCTGCGTGTTACCGGTCAGGACGTCCATGAACAGCTTTCCAGTCACAATGTCGCCAGAGTAGTCGACTTTGCAGCCCTTGTAGACATCAGGCGGGTTCTCGCCCGGCTTGTTGAACAGCTGGCCGGGGAACGGGTTCTCCTCGCTGTTCGCCACGTCGTCCTGCATCATCAGGATGATGTTGTCTGCTGGTACTCCACTCTGCAACATGAGCTGGTAGGCATGGCAGGCATCCGCTTGGTGGCGGTAGTTCATGAATCCTGACGAGCCAGCTGCAATGACGGCATACTTCTCGGCAGCTGCCACGGCCGGAAGAAGCGCAACGAGGGCTGCGCGCAAAGCCATGGTTCCACGCGAAGTCTGGAGAGTGTGAGCTCGAGCCAAGCTGATGTCCACACCGCCAGGACGAAGCCACACAACTCTGGACTG